GGTTATTAGTGTTGTTCAAGCTCTCCATTTCCTTTTTGATTCTCTGTCTAGTTGTTCTATTGAAGTTGGGATATTGCAGTCTTCATCTATGATTGTTGAATGGTCTATTTCTGTCATTTCTCTCAGTTTTTGCCTCATGTATTTTGTTACTCTGTTGTTAGTTGCAGATGTTTATAATTATTATATCTTCCTGATGGATTGACCCTATTCTTATTATAAAATGTCCCTCTTTATCTCTAGTAACATTTCTTGTTTTAGAGTCTATTTTATCGAATATTAGCATAGCTACTTCAGCTTTCTTATGGTTGCTCCAAAGCTCTGCTTTGAATTTTCATAGACTTTGATGGGCCCTGTAAATGAGTGAAGACATTACCCCTTTTCCTTTTTACCCCCCTTCATCTTTCAAATGAAATATTTTACCAATCAACCAACTCTCCTTGAGCACTAAGTATGGTCCCCAACACGAAAACCTGTGTGACGTGAAAACTCTTGGGTCTAGATTAGAACCCTTTCATGGGATTGGTTCATCCTCTTCACTTCATCCTCAATAAATTAAAATCACATCCTCCGCTAAAATAACGAGGAGTCGTCATGACCAGAACTTAGAGGTAAGAAACTGAAATTGAAAAGGAAATCAGGGAAAATTTTATTAAAATCAGAGGACTACGAAGGTTTTAGGAAAAAGATGTTTACTCTTGACCTCCTCTTCAAGTCAGAAAAGCTTCCCCGAATTCTTTGGGTCGTTCACTTGCCCCGAACGCCGCGGAAGAACCCCCAAGTGATGCTGGTGGGAAATGGCATGGAATGAGGATGGCATGCTGGGACCCCTGTGTCTGTGGGGCTTACTGTGCCAGAGTAAGTACAGATTTCAAAAGGAAAAAACACATTTAAAAAAACAGATGTAATACCACTCAGAGCACAGAGAGTGAAATGATTTGCCTGAGGTTTCACAGCCAGTGATGTCCCTGTTTGATCTTTCCCTGAGTCTGAGCCCCCTTGTTGTCCTAGAGGAGGCTAGCCCCGATCCTGCCATTAGAGGAGAGCACCTCACATTCTGGGCCAGTTTCCTGCACTGCTCTGAGCTCTAGGAGTTCAGAGAGGGGAGGGTGGCGTGACCTCTGCCTAGCTGGGTGTTGGCACGAGGCCCTGGTGACAGTGTGTCTGCGCTGTGAGTGTGCCGACAATCTTCCTCGCTCAACAACCAGCCAATTTGGTCTCAGGAAACCACTCTGCAGTGCTGGCTGGGTTCAGAAGTCATTTTTAATTTTGTGACAAAGACAAATGTGTCCTAGGGGAGTAGTAAGTGGTTTTACTGGTGATATTAATGGAACCGTGACCTCTTCTGTATCTATGGTCCTACAAAACAAAAAATGTTTGTATTATAATATGTCAGGCAAGTTCATTCTTAGCCCTTCCTTGAAGCAAATTGTAGAGGAAGTATACTATTAATAAGCCCAGAGCATAGTGTGTGTGTGTGTGTGTGTGTGTGTATCCACAGTCATAACCTCATTTGCAAACACAGTGGATTTTAACCAACTGCTGACTTGATACAAATGATGTACCTTGAATTGTATTGGGATGGACACAATTCACTGAAGTTCCGAACAGAAGTGCAGTGGGCCCAGGGCTGATATTGGTATTGGCTTGTCGAGGCCAATAGTTGTAGTCAAATTCAAGTGTTGGGGGGATCCAAAGTGACAAAGGGAAAGGAAACATTCAAAGGCACATGGAGTTCACCTCTTCTGTTTTCATTTGGGATGGGAATTCATTAGCCTAGATATGACTGCATTGATGTTTACTATTTCCTGCCCCAACTTTTTATGCCAGTGCCCTTTGTTGCAAATAGTTGCTTAAGGAGACAGTAAATTAAATGTGAAGGATTTACAGTTTAGTTACATGAATTAAACCATTTCCTGGTGTTTGTGTTTACCTTGGGACTCACAAAGAAGACAAAAATATAGACTCACAGGAGGAAGGAAAGGAATGATCAAATCCCAATAGTTTCTGCCTGAATGTCTAGCTCAGCAACTTTATTTAAGGGAGGAATTTTGTGCTGATAAGTGAATCTTTGTCTCTGTATAATTAACTTTTCCTCTCTGCATATGTTGCTATACCCACTGAGCTCTCCTAATAGACATATAACTATTAACTGTGCAGTATTAATGTCTATTGGGTAAAACTAAAGTAAATAAAATGGCAGAATTGATAGTTTCCCTCAAGTAAAAATGGATGCTGCTTTATAATTTGAGACTTAAATTTAATAATTCAAAATGTTATTATAAAATAATACATGATCATTCTAGAAAATCTGACAAATATATAAAAAGGTAGATGAGAAAATAACAACAAAGCCACTACTCAAACATTTTAGTGTATTTTTTTCTATGCCATAGACGAATATATAGTTATACCTTTTATAGTTAATTTTTTTTTATACCTTTTATAGTTAAGATCATGGGTATAATTAGTGATTTTCATATATCCCAACCCCCTCTCTCCATAAGTTCAAATCTCTCATAAAAATAAGAAAAGTAAGAGCCAGCACATATCCAGTATTAACTGTCTGCCAGGTACCATTCTAACCACTTTACATATATTCCTTCATGTAACCCTCATAATAGCCCTTTGAAGTAGATTTTGCAAATGAAGCACAGAGAGTAAAATGATTTGCCTGAGGTTTCACAACCAGTAAGGGGGAGAGCCAGGATTCCAACCCAGTTTGTAAAGTGTGAGCTCTGAACGCCCACCATCTGCTGATGCCCTCTGACTCAGCCTTTGTAACCGCCCTGTCCCCAAGCCTACCCTCACAGCCCTGCCCCTGGGTGATTGTCCTCTTCTCAGAATTCCTCTAATACTAGACAGTATGACAGGGCACATCCTTTCCCCACTGTGTGTGTGTGTGATAATCAGGCTGAGTCTCTGAAGAGCAGTTGCTGGCTACAGCCCTTGTGGGGCTGGGTGGGGGGGTAGGGGGAGTTCCAGCCCTGAGGGTGGTACAGGGGAAGGTCAGGAGATACTGGCCTCCAGGCCTGGCTCTGCTCACCTCACTTCACATATTTACACCTCTGTCTTATCTGTAAAAGGACAGAGTTGTTGGATAGCCCTTCATCCATTTTGTTAGGTCATTCATTCATTCACTGACTACACGTCAGACTGAGATGCATACAATCTGTTTCCTCTCCTGTAGGAATTCATCAGCCAGTTTGTAGCCAGAGAAGTAACCTGCCCATTGAGTGTAGAGTGTGTGAAGTGTGGTTATTGGAGAATGTTGGGGATTTGGGGAGGGCCCCTAAGGTGGGCTGGGGCGGAGAAAGGGTATAAGGAAGGGGCTGGCCTAGCAAGGCTTCCCAGAGGACAAGGAGGAATTCTGTGTCTAGCGTGTGTCAAATGATTCCATCTTAAGCAGGCTACACCAATGTTACTTTTTTTTTTTAATTAAAACTACAGGAATTTATTGTCTCACATTCTAGAAACTAGAGGTTGAAATCAGCGTGTCAGTGGGACCATGCTACCTCTGAAACCTGTAGGGAGGGGGCTCCTTCTATGTCTCTTCCTACCTGTGGTGGTTGCTGGCAATCCTAGGCAGCCCCCAACTTGCACCTCATCACTCAGTCTCTCCCCGTGTATTCATGTGGCTTCTCCCCCCACATTCCCCACGTCCGTCTCCTTGGGGCCATCTTCCTAAAAAGGCACCAGTCATACTGGAGTAGGAACCCACCCTACTTAACTGATAATTCCAGAAGCAATGACTCCATTTGACCCAAATGAGGTCACATTCTGAAGTGAGGAACTTCCACATTTTGGTTTTGGGTGGGGGGACACAGTTCAACCCACAACAACTTCATAGCCACCATCTAGTCCAGGCAACCACTGCCTACTTACTGCTGTGTGTCTCCATTCTCCATTCAGCGTCCAGAGCGAGCTTCCTTAAAGTACAGCAAGCAGGTGGGGGGAACTCGTTGGATCTTTCAGGTCCAGTTGGAGGGAGTTAACACCATACTTTCCATCTGGGTGTCTAAGGCTGAAGCCAAGGGCAGAAGATGGGAACACAGTGACTCCTGAAGAGATCATGAGATGTCAGTGGGTCCCTGAGGGTGAGGGCATTGGAGGCTGTTCGAATGTTCCTAAAGGATCTGATGCTCCTTCTGGGCCACAGAGGAACCACAGAGAAGTTGAACAGGTGGTTTGAATCCTTTTGGCCTCTGAGACTTAGCCAGATGCCATTCTTCTGAAGGGTGGTATCTTGGTGATTATTTAAAGCGTCTTCCAGCCCTCTCTGCATGCACTGGGACATACTGTGCTATTAGGAGATACCTAGCACATACTAAAGAAATCTAATCTGCCTAGGAAATCAATGCAGTCCTCAACACCGCTTGTCCGGGCTTTCCCCTGGCCCCGAGCAGCTCAGAGCTTCTCACTCATTATTAGTCTGCTGGGAAAGGTCTAGAAAACCTTTAAGTCAGGCTTCTGTCATTCAAATGCTAATCCTCTCTCCAAACTGACACCTCTGCATTACCTCTGTCTGCTCCAAGGTCAGCTGACCATTGCACCCAGGGCCCTTTGACTCCTTACAAAGGCTCTGGAGGGCGCTTCCTGAGGCATTTAGCATAGCTGTGGTAAGAAGTGTATGCAGAATATTCTTCTTTCTTTCTCCCTGTGCTTTTATGGCTTTTTGCAATAGTGACCTAAACCCACCCCACCCCCACCCACCCCACACATCACAATGGCATTTTAGGGCATCAGGGGCAATCTGACCCAAGGTCAAGACCTCTTTAAGGAATTTGGTTTATTACAGAAGCATTCTGTTTCTGGGTAAAAACAAAAAGGGCCAAATTCAGAGACAAGAATGTGAACTTATGGATTATATTAAGAGGGACTCGTGTCAGTGACCATCCCGCCTCACCCAGCTACGGTGTCTAGATGTTGTTGATACAACCATTCATATATATATATATACATATATATATATATTATGTATTTTTCATTTTCTTCTCATTCAGATACAGGTAGACCTTTCTTAGAGATGCACAGTGAAATACCCGAAATTATATATATGACTGAAGGAAGGGAGATCGTCATCCCCTGCCGGGTCACGTCACCTAACATCACTGTGACTTTAAAAAAGGTAAAACCGAGCAATGCTTCTCTCAGAAAATCTTTACTGCAAGTGAGCACAATGAATTTCAAGTCCTTTTATCTCTCTGGAATGATTTTCTCACACATTTGGGCTGCTCAGTGGACTTTTCTGGAATGTCCTTTTACTATAAAGGATAAGTGCTAGAAGTCATACCCAGGCATGTACTTAAATGAAATATCATGACAATGTGGTGGGCATAAATCTGTGTGAATATAATGAAAGAACGAAAATCGTGCAAATGTTCATATATTGCCACAAATCCAAGTGTTTGCAAATGTGAGAAAAACCAATTCTGTTGCTTATACAAAGTAATAGCTTGGCAGAGAGTGGTTACTCTAGATTTTTGCTAAGGACAGAACTGTGAGACAGGTGCGTGTGGACCCACTACCTTTAGTTTGGGTTGTGAAGTTCCTAGGAACAAAAAGCTTAAGTCCTGCTGGGCAGCCAAACCTAGCTGCTTAGGGAAAGGGAAAAAAAGGGAGTGGGGGCAAGAAAGCTACACACGACATTTTTTCCTTCATATCAAGTTGTAAACCATGCATGTGGAGAAAGAAAAAGATTTGGGATGGAATCTAATAAAGATAAAAGCTAAAATGTCACATTCTAGCTAATTCATCGATGCTAAGAGTTTGGGAACAGACTAGGGTGAAGAGGTGGACAAGCACTCCCCAAATGGAAAATGGTGGTGAGTCCCGAGAGCTTTGAGCTTTAAGAGGAAAAGTTAAGCCTTTCTCAAGGCAGCACGAAGCACCACCATCACCCTGTAGGTACTCACGAAGCGTTTGGTGGTCGCAGTAGTCAAGTCTGAAAAGCTTGGAGGGATTTCCAGTATCACTAGAGTCCTGGAATATGATGGAGGTGTCTCCCAGTCTCATTCCCTTGAATTCACTTTCCTACATTATTGATTTGATTTAAGCCCTCAGGATAGTCCATCGGTGACAGGTTTTAGCTTCCATTATATGTATGTGTCCCTGCCAGTAATTATAAAAGCATTGTATTTCAGAGCTGGAAGCATCAGAGGAGTTTAAACCAATGGGTGGAAGGAAAAACTGAGATTCTGGGGGAGTTGGGGACCTCCCAGACCACACTGGGCTTTGGAATCTGTATCTTGACCTCTCCTTCCATGCCCTTGCCACCTTGGTTAATGGTTTAGTTTGCACAGGAGAAAGACCAGAGTGGTTAAGAACAGAGCCCTGTGGCACGCTGCCTGGATTCTGATCACTCAACCACTTAACCTGCTGGACAAACTGGCAAATTATCAAAACTCCCTCCACCTCAGTTTCCTCATTGGAGAAATGGGGTCGCACCCACCTCACATGGATGTTAGGAAGTAACTGAGGTGATACATAAAAAGCCCTTAGAACAGTTCCTTGTACAAGCTGAGCGCCATTAAGGGTTAGCTGTTATTATTTATCTAACAGCTTAATACCCAATACTTGATTTATTATCAAGTGATATTTATTATCAAGCGTGGTATCCACTCCTCTTAGTCTGAGGTAATAATCACTGTGTGATGACCGTGGAACATACCACGGGACTGCCTTTTGGTTCTAGTGCAGATCATTTGTCTGTTGTAAGAAACAGTCCCACATTCCCCCATGTAAAAATATGAGGGGGGGGAGCTTATTTTCTCTGTTTTTCTACCTAAGATCTATAACAGACATGAGAGAAAGAGAGAGAGGGGGAGAGAGAGAGAGAGGGAAAGAGAGAGGGAGGGAAGAGAGAAAAGCACACTGTTCTAATAGGGCTTTGGGTTTGCCACATATATATGGAAACTATTCGAACCTATTATGTATGTATGTCGCCCTAAAGTTGTAAGATCTTTTCCACTTCTCCACTTCTCCTTTTGTCCCTTTTAACCTGCTGTCCCCTCCCTCTCCTTTCCCCCGCTAGTGTTGGTAGAGCCGTGTAAGCTGGAGACAGCCTCCCTATCCAGTCCTTTCTCTCAGGGCTGCCCCTCTGCGTGCCTCTCTGTGACACTCGTAGGCACCACCACAGCTGATGAGCTACATGGGCTTCTGCTAGTTTAGCTCTCGGCAGCTCGGAACAAAGCTTCTTGGTCAGTAGAATCCTACTAGTGGCCATAAGGGCAGATTAGAGTAAGCGAAACTTCCTCTGAAACCTTAAAGGAAACTTTAGTGTATTTCTCAGTTGTGCTGAGGAAGTCCATCAGTGAACCTTTCTTTTAGATTCAGTACATGCTCGTGTTCACCTATGTTTAAAGCATCATAGGTCTCAATCCCTGACTTAAATTTGTCTGAGCTTTCCCCTTAATAATTTGCACCAAATTAGAGGAGAAGGTTCTTTTCCTCCCACTGGAGATAAAGCCTTCCTAAGCCTGCAGATAGAATCATGATTTACTAGAACACTAAATGCATCCTTCACTTGCTTGCAAGTTCCTCATAAACAGGGTGCAGCTCATTTCAAAGCCGTGTGACACTCTGGTAACACAGACGCAGACATGCTCACTGGGAGAGGGCGCTGGTGACGTTTCCCAGAGGAATTTCTGCCATGGAGTCACAAATCCCAGCCAGATTAGCTCCTTCAACAAGCAATATAAATAAATGATAAACAGATAAGCGATGCAAGGTGCACTTTTTAGAAGATGAAAAAGATCTAAAACATCTTCAGGGCAGTTTGCCCTTTCCTTTTTAATCTGTTGTGGGAAGGTAATCTGATTTTTTTCTTCCCCCCTTTTCCAGCAGGGCATAAGTCATAGTGGTTGTCAGAGATGCCTCTGAAATTGGGCTGGCAATCTGGCATCAGGGGAATTTGGCTGGGTCAATCAGTGGAGCAGTATCCCCTTTATAAAGCCTCATCCCAAGGCGGATTGTTTATATGGTAATCTTTAAAAATAAAATTCTTGGCGTCCAGCGGAAGGCATAAGGGAAAATCAAATCATGGATTCCTTTCTTGTGTTTGGACTCAATGTGTCTGGGAATACTTCTAAGAATGTGAGAGCACTTCACTCACGACAGCATCTCCGGCCTCCACATCTGTTTGCAGCTGTCTTCACTGTCCATTTCCCTGGAGTTTCCCCTCCCAGAGGCAGAGTCGAGGCCCTCAGCCTTCCCAGAATGATAACCCCAGCGAGCACCAAGTGAATGCTATGAATCTCAAAGGACTGGGAATTCCTTAGTCCTCTGAGGACAGCCACCTCTTTACTAAATCATGAAAAGTGGGAGGACAAGTTATGGCTTGTTAAAAGCTCCAGATGATGAGGCCCAGGAGGGTAACCTGGCGGCCCCAGTGGAAAAAGTCCTAGTTGGTTTCTCTGTGGAGTCTCAGGCCAGTCCGTTACAAGGATGATTCCCAGAGGCCAAGCGATATGGGCTCCCAGTGCAAGTCTGACATGACAGCTAGGTCTATCCCGGGTGGGTGCAGCTTGTTGCCGAGGCTGATAACGAATTATCGTAATTACTGTAGTTTATCATCATAATGTATATCTCGCTCCACGCAAAGAAAACTAAAGAGCCCATGATGACAAACTAAAGTTTTTACCTGGACCATTTTCATTTTCAATGAAAACTGTGTTTCCACAAATTACGAGGGAAAGAGTATTGCCACGGTGCTAGTACGATTTTCTTAAAACATCTTTTTTTTTTTTTTCTTTTCAGTTTCCCCTTGATACCCTGATCCCGGATGGAAAACGAATAACCTGGGACAGTAGGAAGGGTTTTATAATAGCAAATGCAACATACAGAGAAATAGGGCTTCTGACCTGTGAAACAACAGTCAACGGGCATTTGTACAAGACCAACTATCTCACCCATCGACAAAGTAAGTGATGTTCCAAAGGCATGAGCGCAGGCGAAAACACCAAAATGCAGGGAAACCTTGATTAAAAAAAAAAAAAAAATCTCATTTCTTATGCTTGCAGCCAATACCATCCAAGACGTCCAGATAAGCACTCCAAGCCCAGTCAAGTTGCTTCGAGGTCGCACTCTTACCCTCAACTGCACTGCTACCACTGATTTGAACACGAGGGTTCAGATGACCTGGAGTTACCCTGGTGAAGTGAGTGACGTTTTTCTCTGGCTTCTGGAGGGCAGTATTGCTTTCTGGCAAGTGACGTGCCGCTGGGTTTTTGAGGTGGGGCAAAATCAGCATCTTCTGACTCACGTGGCAGTTCCGAGTGAACAAGGAAGCTGTGGGTGTGTTTTGGGGGCTTCCCTTGTCTGATGTTCCCTGAGTGTGTGTGCATAGATACAGTCTTTTGATGTCTGGAGGTTTTGTTTTGAAGTATATAGGCTGGTATTTCTGTTGCATGATTCCGGGTGGAAAAGGGGATCGTTTCATCCTTGGAAACTGTTCTCTGGGATTTAGAGATGAGAGGGAAATTTATCACTCAATGCCAGGCAGGGCCTATCTGTGGTAAGAACAACAACAAAAAGCTGTTGTCAGCGCGTTAATGTCAGATACCCGCAGACAGCGAGGCACCTGATTGGAGCATGTTTGGAAAAGATATTCCAAGCCAGCCGGCCAGTATCCCCTTTGTTCAGTGACAAAGGAGCAATGCTGTCCTTCAGAAAAATGAGAAGAATGAAGACTGAGTCGGGGCTCCTTATTCAGACCAAACGTCCCTGCAAACAAACAGTCATCGTTTGCAGGCGTGTAGATGGGGAATCGATGATCAGCTGTTGTCACCGCGGCCCCCATTGGCTGGGTGGCAGTATGACGGATGGGGCATATCCCAGGCCCAGTCGTGCGTTCGGTCATTCAGATTGCGCAATCACAAAGGTTACCGATGATTAAATTTTATGCTAAGATTAATGCGTCAGCCCCAAGCTACTGTTATTTCTCATCAACATTTATTGCCATGGAAATAGAATAACTTGGCAACAAAAAGATGCAACAAGTCCCCTGTAGGAAGGACTCGTCAGTCCTATTTTCTAGAAAGTGATATTGTTTCATTTAAATAACAATGCTATGACTTGCAGCAATTGTTTCTGGGTTTTGATAGAAGTCAGATATTCTCAGTAAACGCCAGGAGGGAACAAACTCTTATCCTGTTGGTGGCTGTATGACAAGATATGATAAAACATCTACTGACCACCAGTTACCTTCGAAAATGGCGCTGTCCAATAGAACTTCGTGTGATTGAAATATCTTTTCTGACTAATACAGTAACCACTAGCCACAGGTGGCTAATGAGGGCCTGGAATGTGGTTCCTGTGACTAAGGAACCGAATTTCTTATTTTAATTTTAACAGCCCACATGTGGCTGGTGGCCACGGTGCCAGACAAAACAGTTACCTGAAACCCGGGATCAGCTCTTTTCCAAAGGCAGAAACAGCACCAATGTTACTCAAATTTGGGAAGGGAAGAGTTCTCCAAGGGAGAAGACAGAAGTAATACCTACAGAGAGTGGCTGAAAATCCCTCAGGCTGGCATTTAAGGGGCTGCTGCTCTGATTTTTGATGGTGGTGGTTGACATCTTCTTTCTGGTTGCTGCCGAGAAGGAAGAAAACGGCCTACCCGTGTGTCTGTTCCAGCAGGGCAATGTAAGGACAGGTGGTAGAAGTTTCGTAAACGCGGCACAGAGGAGAGCTAATTTCAAGACCCAAAGACCAGTACCGTACTTTTCAATGTCTTTTTTCCATGCCTCACGGGGAAGGATGGAGAGGGAGAAATAACATATTATGTGTTATAAAATGTAATGCTAAAAAAAAAAAAATGAGAGAGGGGGAAGGAACAATGGAAGGAAAAGGCAATGTGATCTCATCTTCTCAAAACCAGGAAGGAGGCACTGTGACCACTTTACACTGCTGAGCCCCAGGGCCTGCTCCTGGTGTGCCCTGAGGCAAACACAGGAGGACGTCCCACCACCACCACCATCAGAGTGTTGGCTACGCTTGTAGATGGCTTTGCATGTCCTCAGATCCATTCAGTGTGATTTAGCAGAAATTGGTAAGCCTTGCTCAAAATAGTGAAATGATGAAAGCAAGATTACACTTTAGTCCGTGTAGCCAGGACTCATGATTTTTTCCTTCATTTCCAGTAAGGAAGCAAGAGAAAATTCACACGGTGATTTATTAGAGAAACAATGTCATGAAGCCAGATACCAAAGATACTGACTGCCTGAGTTAGCCACGTCTATGCCCAGAGAGCTGGTTACTGTTTAGAGAGGCGTGTGCTGGAGGGAAGGCACTAGATTTATACTCCAAAGACCTGAGTTTCCTGCCCACGGTGGCCTCTGACGCTTCAGCCTCTTCATCTGTAAAAGGGCAGTGATGCTGCCTATCTCATTGGGTGGTTGTGAGAAACTACTGAGTTAATGTACATGAAAGTCCATCTGGAGAAGATGATGTGCTAAATGAGTGCCCCCATGGCAAATATTTGAAACGCATTGAGACACAGTTTGAGTTTCTAAACATCTTGCTGTTAGGTGGGTTTGCTTCTCAGCGTAAAATGTCCATCATAATAATCTGAGAAATGCTATCACCTTGAGCATGAACAATTACTACTTCCACATTTGCTATACATTTTCTTTCTAGACAAAGAAGAGAGCGTCTATAAGGCAACGTATTGGCCAACGCACTTCCATTGCCATTGTGTTCTACAGCGTTCTTGTTATTGACAAAGTACAGAACAAAGACAAAGGACTTTATACTTGCCATGTGAAGAGTGGCCCGTCATTCAAATCTGTTAACACCTCAGTGCATGTATATGGTAAGGCACTCGTGCTCTGCTTTCTATCATCGTGGATTTGGGGCGGGTTCTATAAAAAATGTTTTTTTGGCCAAGAGGTACTCTATCATGAATGATACAACTTGATTCCCCTCCTCCCGCTGCCAAAAAGCAAAGCGCATTAAGTGTTGTTTAATACTTTCGAATTAGAGCATCTTTTCCTTGCCAGCTTATTGTGGTGAATAATTCAGTTAGATCATATTAAATTCTTTTTTTAGTATTCCATACAAACAAGACAGAAAAATATGACAGATTTACCTTCATTTCTCAGGTGCTGCTGTGAGCTAGAGAAAAATGTGGTGGGATAAGTTATTTAGAATAGATGTGATTTTATCCCTGGTTTTACCCTGATGAAATCCTAATATTGTTGCTTAATGCCAATAGGCAAGTTCTGTAAAGAAAATACTTAAACCTCTTTAGAATCCTTAAAAACCTTATTTATCTTCACTGTTGAAAAGAAAAACGGCGAGAGGCAGAAACCTGGAACACTCCTGGCAGTGGGCTTAGATATTCTTTTGATTTTCTCCAGTAGGGTTTTTTGTTTGTTTGTTTTTGTTTTAATCAGATCATTTGTTTTATGGTGTCTGAAGGAACTTTCTCCCAACATACTCATGTTTCAGAAGTATCTCTACTTTTCTGTGATGCGATACGGATATTTGAGATGTTCCATTCTCTGTGGCTCTGCCTTTGTTTTTCCGTTTTACTCGCAACCCTTTCATTTGAATGTACTTCACCAGTTAGAGTGCTTCTGAATTATTTTATTCAGGGCTCGATATTTGGGCTCACTGGTAGGCTTGATCAGAGTTCAGCTCTGTTTGTTTATTGCTTGCACCCTCCTTCTAGGAGGCAGGGGGTTGGGTTGGTGTTGTTCTATTTAGATAAACATGGTCTTTCCTAATCTCTTTATCATTCTCCTTTCAAAGATAAAGCATTCATCACTGTGAAGCATCGAAAACAGCACGTGCTAGAGACCACAGCTGGCAAGAGGGCCTACAGGTTATCTGTGAAAGTGAAGGCATTTCCCTCGCCAGAGGTTCTATGGTAGGACCATAATTATTTTCCTATCAGTTTAAGATATGCTTTGTAAGTAGGAAGATGCAGGAGCCCAATGACTGGAATTCCTGAAAAAATATCAAGAGAAGTTCCCCAGACGGTGGTGGAAAGCCAAGAACTGTGTTGATTTCTGGGGCTGGGAGCAAGCAGAGAGGCTGGGCTGGAGGGAAAAGGAAGCTGTCCCAGGATGGGGCAAGAGCTGAGGTGTTTTGAGTGCTCGGTTCAGTTCAGCCCTTCCCGTGCTGTGAATAAATTTCTGCATCTCTAAACCTCCCCATGATGTCAACAACCTTTGAATGGAGTATGTTGGGCAATGAGTAGGAAGCATCTTGAATATGTAACATGCTCTATTAACCCTGAAGAAGTGGGCCCTTGTAATGAAGATAATAATTCTTTTATTATCTGAAAATAATTCTTTTATATACAGCTGGGATGAAAGTTCCAGGCTTGTTGTAAAATTAAACAAACATTAATAGAGACAAGACTTATTCAGTCGCAGGGGTGGAGGAAAGGACCTACTTGAACTAATTAAGTTTTTTTTGGCTCGAAGTTTGCATATTCAGAACCTCCTGAAGCAGGTTCTTTTTGTGTTAGTACAACACCTGATGTAAAACAATGTAATCTGTTTATAATCTGTAGTCATTTTATTAAATCATTTTTAAATGCCAATATCTTTGGCTCAAACCATTACATTTTAAACAAAGAGTACAGTACAAAACCGATTAGGAAAACAGCCCGTACAATATAGAAATGGTGCCATTGTAGAATCACCTCCACCAGACCTTATTTTGCTTTCAATATCATATGATTTGCAGTTTCCTCAAATAGTTAATAGGGAGTTAAAGAGAAAATTAAACTCTGTGCTGTGCCCCTTCATGCCATCACAGTAGAAGAGAGATTTTTTTGTTTTGTTTTATAATGTGTAAAAGGTCCAGTAGTAAATTTCCTGTGGTGTACATAATTCCTTAATAGGAATTTAATCACTCCAGGCTATACATTCCCTCTTTCAAAAGGGCCTGAGAGTATCCCCATCTATTAAACAGTGCTAATTTCTTTAGTAACTAAGCAGCTAGGACCTAAAACACATACACAATAAATCGATCCCTCTTTGAAAACACTGACTTGTTCATGAGAAATAAAGTAAATTAAGATGATATCTGCAGTCATAAAATAGAGCATAGTTATTTCAACTGCTTTGGAACCGAGACCCATTAGTAATGGGTATTTGCTTACAGGACAATGTAACGTTTGTATGGATATGAACTAACACCATTTCCAATATTAAACCTTCATATAGAACACAATAAGCTCCTAACAGATTAAAAAATGCCCAGCTAAAGAACTGTGCGATTTAATGAAATCACAGACTTGTAGCATTAAATCTTTGAGAAACTCTAGAAAATTTGGAGAAACTGAGGCTCACACGGACAAGTCAGGTGCACAGCACAGAGTGGCAGAGCTGGGACAAGCATTCAGGCCTCCTGAATCTCAGTTCTGTATGCAACTGCGTTAGGTATCTAGGCATTGATTCTATATTTAAAGTTAAAAAGAATTTTTTTTTTAAGTTTTGTACCTTTTGTTTGTGAGTTTTGTGCCTTAACTATTCTTCCACAGGGGAAAAATCTTGGTAATCTTGATTTTACTGTAGCTTATGAAAGGGACAACTGGTGTGACCATTTATACAACTAATAAGAACTCCACATGAGACCACAATAGGAAAGTCTATTTTTATTTTTATCTGGAGAAGTGATCTAGTTGATCTGACTTACAATGGCCCTTGTATTGCTAATGAAGCCTCATGGAAAACTGAAAAACATCTCGATGGGATCAGCCAGTGCTGCTGGGTGAATACTTAAGTCACGTGGTGACCAGCATCCTTGTGGGTACCTTAAAACCATCGCTTTTCTTTCTTCCTTCAACATACTTCTTCCTCCTTGCCAATAAATGTGAAGTGTTTCTCCATTTAAAAACCACACCTGGCTTTACTGAAAAGTTAGTGTCTACATTTGTAAAATGAATGTGGAGGACCAAAGGCTTGGAGCGTATCAACTTGAGCTCACAAATGTAAATGACAGCGTTAAAGTGATATCTGAGAGGCCGTGTGGAATGACTTCCCAATCACACTCTTAACCACAGGTTAAAAGATGGGTTCCCTGTGACTGAGAAATCTCCTCGCTATTTGGTTCATGGCTACTCGTTAATTATCAAAGATGTTGCTGCAGAAGATGCAGGGGATTACACGATCTTGCTGGCCATCAAGAAGTCCAGCGTGTTTAAAAACCTCACCACCATTTTGATTGTAAATGGTAAGTTTGCTGTTCGTACTTTCTTCTGGTTCTGGCAGGGGTGCAGTTCAGAAAAATTTGTAAACCAAAAGTCAATAGAACAACATCAGAGAAAACACACTTTTAAGTAATGATTTTTAAAACCATGTACGCCCCCATCATACCGATTTCATGTCTGCTCGTTATCTTCCATAAGCAATATGATTTTTTATCATTGTAATCATGACGTACACACCATGGAATCAATTTTTACTGTTATCAAAACACTTTTATTTATTTTTTTAAAAAAGGCAGTAATGACAACAGATATGTGTTGGTTTCCCCGACATCAAAACCAAGGAGAATGCGGGCCTTCATGTTGTAGACCCAGAGAAAGTCACTGTACAGCTCTTGACTTCTGTCCTGTTCATCTCCCTTCCAGTGAAACCCCAGATCTATGAAAAGGCCGTGTCATCCTTTCCAGACCCAACTCTCTACCCCCTGGGCAGCAGACAGACCCTGACTTGTACCATTTATGGTTTACCTCAGCCTACGGTCACGTGGTTCTGGCGTGCCTGTAACCACAGTCATTCCAAAGCAAGGTAAGGACAGTTTGTTTTCTAACTTTCGAATACTTGCTATACCTGGACTCGAGATTCTTTAAGGGACACAGATGGAAGTTTGCAAATGGGATGTGCAGTTATATTTGGGGCAAAGGCTTTCCCTCCCATGGGAAAAAGTCGGCAATATCTACTTTTCTTCCTTACTCGTTTCTAACCATTTCATAATTTTTCTCTTTAGTTGATAGTTTTAGGAGCACAGGGACAGAATCAAGGTCACCTTGTGAGCCTTTCTTGAAGCTCAGTTGGAACTCCAGTCTTGTTTTCAACTGAGAACCTCCAGACTTTGGCTAATTCAGCTACAGTGGCTTTCCCATTTCCCATTTTGTGAACATTGGGTATGATAGGAGATCTTCCCTGCTCTGGTGATCACTACCCGTCGTAGGTTTTGCTCATGCTCTTCCTTCGTTTCCACCCATTTGCTGCCTCCTGAGAAGTCCTTCCTTACCCTCCAAGGCTTAGCTTTGCCAACTCTCCTGACTGCCTCATTCAGATTCCTTTCTCCCTCTTCAGTAGGAACCACGCCTCATTTACGCCTTGTTACTTTACTGGGTTTGCATACAGTTGCATATATTTGTTTTATCTCTAAGTCCTGAGCTGACTGAGAGCAGCTCTGTGTCTTTAGGGCCAGGCACACACAGTGGTAGATAGAGGCTTACTGTGTATTTGCTGAGTGGATACGTCCCTACCTTCTGGTCATTGTGCAGCATTTCCTTGCATCCTGTTGATGACTGAGTCCTGTTTGCTCTTTTCCCATTTTTGTTTAGTCTAGAGGAATGATGCTAAGGACAGTTCATGAGAGCTAATTTGAAGGACAGGAATAGAGTTGATAAGTGCAACAATCAGATACTATTGAGACCGCCCAAGAACAATCATTATGCCCTAATATTTGCTTTGTTGCTTTTAACTCCACTTGTGGAGTGTCGGGAAAGTTGCTATTTAAAAGAAAAAACAAAAACGAAAACAAAATTAGCTTGATAAAAAGTAAGACACAATTCTAGCATAAACAGAAGGGACTGTTTGGTTTTCTGGATTCTTCCTGCCATTTCAACTCTTCATCTTGTGTTGTAATCTTTTGCTTGAAGTCTTTCATTCTGATAGTGAAAGCTACTGGTGAGTCCTGGGGTTCCCGAGAAGTAGCTGTTTCCACACATGTCCCAATTTCTCATGTGAATGTCATTTCCTAAGAATAGAAATATGGAGAAATTACAAATCTTGACTATCTTCTTTACCACTGTGGATACTTAACCCAAAAGAAAGTGAGATCTACTGAGATTTTGTATGATTTTGCTAATTTAGGGGTAGGCACCCATATTTGTGGATCTGTTCCCTTAAGGCCTGGATATTTGTGCTAACCTAACATGCAAATAAGTGAAAAATAACTAAATAATTTAAACTATTTGGAGAAAAGTATAAAGTTGAATTTTGGGGGAATAACATAGCCTTTTATAGATGTTTTTAATTTTTGTTTTGACAATAGCAAATCTAAAATTTCAATTCTAGGGACACCTGGGTGGCCCAGTCAGTTTCAGGTTTTGATCTCAGGGTTGTGAGTTTGAGCCCCTCATTGGGCTCCAAGCTGGGCATGGAACCTACTTAAAAAATAAAAAATAAATAAAAATAAAATTTCGATTCTATTTAGGGCAGAGCTAGGAACCCTCTTAGAAAATAGCAATTATGAGTGAGGGAATATAATGTTATAAAGTTGGGTTTGAATAATGCTAATAAAATATGGTTTGGGGAATGAAGTCATTTGAAGTAAAGCTTTGGAGGCATTAGCTCTCTTTTTCTGATTTCTTTGTGGTACATGGGATCCTTCTCTTGTGTCACAGAGTAAATTTGCCAAGGTCTCGAAAGATGTCTAATTCCTCTTCTCTCAAGACTCAGAGCAGTGCCTCAGATCTTCAGTAAATGTTTGTTAACCATCTGACTTATTCTCTGATCAAGGCATTTTTTTTTAACCAATCACAAGACAGATCAGAAATGAAAGCTTTAACTTTTTCAGTGATGCTTCATTAAAACAATATATGTTGCTGCTTGAAATTATCTGCTACAAAATGTGCATATCCATAAGAAGTTGTTGTTTTTTTTTTTTCCTAAGTCAACAGACCAAGTAGCTTACGTGTGTCAGGCCCGAATTTGGTGCTTGGTGGTTAAATCAGTACGTTTAACTTAGAAATAGTTCAGAAAGATATACAGGACCTTTGTGAACTAGGAAAATAGAATAATTCTACTTCACCCTGTCAGAGAGATAGGAGCTAAAATTGACAGAGAAATGGAGCCTTCTTTAATTACTAGAAGTTTTCAAATATGTCTTTATATAAATGTATTTTATATATTTAACACCTAGGTTCCATTGTAGTTAGGAATTTTAGTTAGTGACATTTGAATAAAGGGGAGATCTATTGCATGAATTTTTAAAATTTTATTTTGAGTTACATAGTAACATATTTGCACGGTGGTATCTACGCATGACTGTCAAAAGAGATTAGGTGGTAACATGTCCATATTACTCATGAATATATAGAATAGTTCTTGGTATTTAAATTTTAGGCTCTAGTTAAAGGACATATCTATATATGGACACAAGCGAAGCATTACATTAGTTTTGAGGTTTGAATGTATTTGTTTTAAGTAGCTCAAACTTATTAATTGGTTTAATATGGCCAACTGGTTAATGTATCTAAGTTAAAGAGGTTCAGACTTAAATTGCATAGTTTTCTGGAGTCCAGTAAATACATTAAATATATTTTGAAACTGTCAGAACTATTGCTCAACTAGTTTACCTTTGTGGAAAATAAGAACCATAAATAAAATTAACAGAAATTTCCTCCTTTAAAAAAAAAAAAACAAAACTGTGATACACAGCTGAGCTATGTTTTAGCTATGCTTCTGATTCACCTAGAGTTTGTTCTTATAAAACATTAAGAATAAAAGAAAGGAGGAAAAAGGTAGTTACTTTTCAACTCACATTCCTAATGAGCTGAGAGGAAATATGGCAGAATCTTTTCCCCCTTTTACTTTTCTGCACATTTGGGTGGTAACGTAGCAGGAGAGCTAGAATATTTCTTTTGAATTTTTAATAGCATTAAAATAACTTGTCAATACCAAATGAAGTGGAATTTTGGATTTTTCCTCATCCTTAGCAACTAGCAGAGACTTCTAAATAGATATTCCTAAACTTGTTCCAGGTTAGTGTGGGCATAACCTAGGGAGTATGCATAAGGGTAGTTAAGCTCAGAGTACCTTTCACATGTGTGTAGTTTACAGCTTCTGTTCATATAAAATACAAATGATTATACACACTTCACAGAGACAATATGAGGTTCAAATGAGATCATGTATTTGGGAAAGGTACGGAGTGCCGTTGAAAGGCAAGGTTGTGGGGCGCCTGGGTGGCTCAGTCGGTTAAGCGACTGCCTTCGGCTCAGGTCATGATCCTGGAGTCCCCGGATCGAGTCCCGCATCGGGCTCCCTGCTCGGCGGGGGGTCTGCTTCTCCCTCTGACCCTCCCCCCTCTCATGTGCTCTCTCTCTCTCATTCTCTCTGTCTCAAATAAATAACTAAAATCTTAAAAAAAAAAAGAAAGGCAAGGTTGTGATTACTGCTAGCAGTGGGATAAAATTGTCTAAGCCTCCAAAACTTTTAAGGAACGTGAAAAGAATTTTCTGCCTACCATAGAGCTAGTTTCACAACAGTGACAATTTTTAACCTAACCAGCGCTTCTGAGAAATGAACACAAGTTGTGGAAAGTAAAGTGTATTTTGCTGTGCTTGAGAAATAGAAATGGAGTAGGTGTGGCCTGTAGAATTGAGGAAAACATAACACGATTTTTCAGAAGAAGAGAAATGAAGGAAATACAGCTGAGTTAGGCAAAAGCAAAAGCAAGACGACAAAGGCTGTGCAGCGGGGGACTAAAGTAACCATCCCAGTTTGTGCGGCCTCTCACTCACTCGTTTCCTGTCATGGGAGGAAGTGGTTCTGACCTGTGGGTTGGCAAAGGCCAGAGTGGGGCAGAGTGGGACGTGGGAGAGCTGATTCCTACGGAGGGAGTCCACAGTAGATTCTAGAACTTCACGTCCCCCTTGGATTTTGAAGCACTATGTGGAACTCCTGACCCGCCCATGCAATGAGCGGGTCTTGCTCCCATAGTCCTTTGCCACATATCTCTCTGCCACGGTGCTGGTTCTGTCTCGCAGGGAATAGTGTGCATGAGGTTGCCCACTGTGTGGAGCTTGGTCTCTAAAGGAAAGAGTAACAATCTTGGACTGGAGGGAGGGGACCCCTCTTCGGGAAATGGAGGACATGGATCTGTGGGTCCCTAGTGGGAAACAGGGAATGGACAGTGTTGGCATGATGCTGGTACTCCAGATCACCAGTTACATTTTTCTCAGAAAGAGTCTGAGATGTTGCAAGATTGCTTTTACTGATGCATGCTCGAGCGCCCAGGAGCCCTGCCAGTAACTGACTGGAGAATAGCAGGCCTGGCTGGGTCCTTTGCTCCCCGAAACCAGAGGGGTGGTGAGTGGGCTGAGGCTGGGTCATCCTTCCTGATGCTCGCCGTTAACCGATTAACACGGCTCCGCTCCCCGTCTGTGCCCAGAGTCTCCCCAGTTGTTTCCGAGGTTGTCTTGTCTTCTTTCTAAAACTAAGGCCTGCTTTTCAAATGTTGAATGTGTCTGGGTCTTTTCTCCAGGGAGGGTGAAGTGGCCTGTGGTCACTGATTACTGCAGGTTTGTTTTTAGACCGCACGCTCTTTCCATCACAGGCTGCTTTAATTCTCTGTCCCCAGCTAACTGTTGAGGTCACAAATAACACTGATAGATGATAATAGAGTGGCCTTTAGTGAAAGAGGCTGTTAAGTGTATCAAGTTCTTTGTGAAAAATCTCATTTTCTTCATTGGCTCTCTGTGATGACCAATAAAAATACACAGAGAGAAACTTCGGCTACTTCTCTTGCATTCACATTGTTCACATCTTAC